CCAATAGGGAATAGGGGCAAAGATACAAAGAAAACAAATAAGACAAAAACAAAATCCAAAAAACAGATTAAAAGAAAACTTCACAACAGCCGCAACAACTCGAGTGGGGCTGGGAACTCATCGGCCCCAGGCCTGCCGGAACAGCCAGGTCTTGACGGCTTTACGGAAAGCCTGAAGGGTGGTGAGGGTCTGAATCTCCACAGGGAGATCGTTCCAGAGGGCCGGAGCAGCCACAGAGAAGGCCCTCCCCCGGGTAGCCTTTTCAGCCTTTTTCCCAGTAGACAAGAGTCTAAAAGAAGACTGCCTGGAAGAAAAGGATGGTGATGGACAGCGAGCTTTTGTTCCTTTGAAAATCCACACCGTCTAAGTTTTTATGTGATTGGACTGGTCTACATTTCTACCACTTTAGCAATAGTCCACTTATCTATCAAAAACTGCCAGTTATCCTGTTAATAATACATAAAAGGTAAAGGTTCCCCTTGCACATATGTGCTAGTCATTCCTGACTCTAGGGGGCAATCCTCATCCCTGTTTCAAAGCCAAAGATATCTCCATGGTCATGTGGCTGGCATGACTAAACGGCGAAGGCGCACGGGACGCTGTTCCCTTCCCACCAAAGGTGGTTCCTATTTTTCTACTTGCATTTTTACATGCTTTCGAACTGCTAAGTAGCTGGGACAAGTAACGGGAGCCCCCTCTGTTACGCGGCGCTAGGGATGCGAACCTTTCTGAGCGACAAGCTGAGCGACTTAGCCACTGAGCCACCACGTCCCTCTAATAATACACATCACACCTTATAAAATGCGTGTCCTGTACTCTGAACTGTGAATAGTGGATATCAATACACATCTTACCAAACACAGAGAATATCGCACAATGCATGCTTTTCCCTGTATGCCAAACATTTCCTTCAACTTTGTCTCTGGTCTATCCAAACCCAAAGTACTAATGAAAAAGACAAATGGACATCCCATTGTCACATCTTGAGAAATTCTCTGGTCCCTCGGATATTAAATTATAGTTTCCATCATTACTTACTTTTGGCTATGCTCTGACAGC